TGATAACTCAGGAGCAAACTTATGTACATGCTCGCTCTCAGCTGGTTCGATGCAGGTCGATCGCAACCCAGAAAGCTAGGGAGAGCTCATTAGTCTACAAGAATAAGGCCTCATCTTGGTTTTATAGAACCTTCCACCTTCTAGTCCGTCATGAACAACTCAAAAACAGGTGTGATTTCTGATACCTCATTTTACTGGTTCCCGATAAGAAGCCAGCCGTAATGAACGAATCGTCCCGTGCGACTAGTACAGCACTTGCACAGTGAGAACTAACGGGCCAGAGTCGTTATAACGGCAACCATAGAAACAGAACCACCACGAGAGGTAGCAAGGAGTGAGCTGTAATAGCTTACAACCTGCGACCACGGCGACCGCACTTCTTCCTGGTGGAATCGGTGGGGATGGGGGTAACATCCTCGATACGGCCGATCTTCATACCAGCACGGGCGAGGGCACGGAGGGCAGCCTGGGCACCAGGGCCGGGGGTCTTGGTCTTGGTACCACCAGTGGCACGCAGCTTGATGTGAAGGGCGTTGACACCGAGCTCCTGAAAATAGAAAGTTGAGCGAAGCGATGGTCGGAATGTTTATAATTTTTTACCTTGCATCTGACAGCGACGTCCTGGGCGGCAAGCATGGCAGCGTAGGGAGAGGACTCATCACGATCGGCCTTCACCTTCATACCACCAGTAACACGGACCAAGGTCTCGCGACCGGACACATCAGTGACGTGGATGAAGGTATCGTTGAAGGAAGCGTAGATGTGGGCAACACCGAACACGAGCTCGCCCTCACGGACCTGGGGACCGAGCTGGAGGGGCTCCTCAGTCTTAGGGGCTTTCTTAGGGGCCATTGGGATCAGTGGCTGGTACTAGTATGGGGAACCACTGCGCTCGCCAAGACTGGTTTAGCGCGATCGATACGAATTATTCATTGAGAAATTGCAAAATTTGTCAAGTGCGCAAGTTGTTTGGACACGTTTGGCATAAACGTGGAATAGTAAAGGGAAGTTCCAGCTTCACGTGGTGTGATCGTTGATACGGGATTAGTGACTTCATGTCAACTTCAACAGTTCAGAACAATAGTCCCAACTTTGCCTCTACGCTGCAGTTCTACTCCTCTACTGCAGCACCCGTTCAGTCCAACCAGGATGAGATGGTCAACTTGGGCAAGCGGGCGGGTAGTGGTAGTGGTGATGAGTAGCTCATAGATGGCCTTTGTGTAGTTTGAATGAAGTTGACGCAGGAGTGGGAGTAACATTTGGTCATTGTCCTTGTTGTTGTTGTCAATGTGGAGATAGTGGCAGCTGTTGGTCACATGGCTGACGTTACAGCACTACTGGAAGCGATCGAGCGATCGCAGTCTGAAGTACAGAGTGTGAAGTTACGGATAGCGAATGTTGCTGGTAGTATAGGGGAGGACATCTGTACTGAATCGCAGTTCTAGGAGCATTTGGTCGAGTTGGGCGACTCTAGGTCTATCGCTGGCTGGGGGTCCTCATTGGCAGTCCGGAGCTCTGTAGAGTACGGCATTTCCAGATTTAGTCGATGTTTGGCGCGTAAATCCAACGATTTACTATTTTTTTCGAAAAAAAACGCCATTTTTCAATTTTTTCCGGTGGGTTTTAATGAATTCCCCGAATTTTATTTGGGGTTTCACCCGTGATTTGAAAAACACTAGTGGGAAACATTTTACGACTATTTCATATCACCGCGAATATCGCGCAGTATAACGCCACTTCGCGTGAAACGGATGAAACTCCATTGAAGTAGCTGATCATTTTAAATATGTACTGATGATGTTAGCTTGGGGACAGATGTGTTTCTCATCCAATTCTATTAGTGCTGGTGGAGTTGGTGTGAATAGGTAAACTGAATCAAGTAAGGATGGCGGTGGCAACATCATCGGGGCCGTCTGCTGCTATGAAGGATGTTGGTACTAGCAAGCTGAAGGGAGAGATTGCTAAGGCGAGGGATGGGATCAGACAGTAGACCAGGTCACTCCTTGGGGGTCGGCGGGAGGCTGGGGGCCACTAGGTTCAAAGATATGATCAAGGATGCGGCAGAGGCAGCAGCGGCAGAGGAACAGAACACTGTAGGGTTTGGAGCTCTCAAGAAACGTATGGCGCATGATGACAAGACGAAGACATTGTAATAGGAGTAGTTTGGGTTGGTGACAGTGTTGGGGTGACAGATATGAGAGGGTTGGTGGTGACTTGACGTTGGAAACGGCTGTCGAGATGGCGTACGGTAGGGCCCTTCAGGATCCCAGGACAAGGTAGTGAGGGATATATGTTTGCTTCCCTCAGCTGAGCTCAGCAGAGTTTCATCACTTAGTTATGAATTCGAAGCGAAGTATATACTTGGAAACAAATCAAAATTTCATAATAATCAGAATTCATCAGAGAATCATTCAATCAGAATTCGAAAATAATCCCATAATTTCATCAGAATTTCCATATTTTAACCAACACATGTAGTTGATTGCGTGAATAATTTCCCTCACTAGAGGTGCGTCCTGAGACTGTTACTTTTCAGAGCATACTTTGAAAAAAATCAGAGGAAGATGGTGTCAATTCGACAGAAAATGCACCAAGTAGTGTTCGGTATGTGTCTATTAATCGTACCACACTTCGCGCAGTTCCTCTCGGGCTTAATGGGAGGCCCGGTGCTCTATGACGAGGAGAATATAAAACCTGCTCATTATCATATGAACATCACTGACTACCATTTTGATGCTGTAAGTCGGTATGCTGAGATATTTGGTCGGACGCCGCGTACAGGTAGTTGAGCACTTCCAGGCTGCCTTTGAAGAGCTTGGGGTTCACCCCAATGCGGTAATCGATGCTGTGATGGCATTCAGGACAGTATTGATAGTGGTCTATAGAGGGAGGGAGAGATGGTTGGTCAGGTTCGTCGGGAGATCACTACGGGGTGCACTGTACGTATGGAGGTCGCAAGAAGGAATATGGAAAAAGGGAAAGACCTTTTGTATAGGAAGGTTGGGGGTAGTAGTAGTAGTAGTAGTAGTAGTAGTAGTAGTAGTAGTAGTAGTAGTAGCAGTAGGAGGAGGACCTAAAGGGCGCGAGTTGAGATGCGCTGGTTTAGAGTCGAAGGGGATCGCCAAGTTTATGGACAGACTGTATGATCTCATTTGTATTGATGCGCGTATTAAGAAGTTCTTCCATGGCAAAGACGTTAATAAGTGAGCGGGGAGAGTTTCGGCCGCGTTGATTCGTGTGCTTCAATTAGAATCAAGAAAAGGCAGACTGTGTTCTTTACGGAAGTCCTCGGTGGTGATGAGCAGTATAACGGTGGGGAATGTGTCTATGTTTGGCTTCTTGTTCGAGTGTGAACGTACAGGCCGATCACTGCCCGAGATACATAAGGGCATGAACGTAGATGATTATCACTTCGACTGTCTTGTAATGAATGCTGAGAGGGTCCTGTCGGGCCTTGGCCTTGGTGACGACACTATAGACGAGGTAGGGACAGCGTTGTGCCCTTCTGGTGGGGAGGTGTTGCAGGTGCTTGTTGTGATGGAAAACCTCCGTGCGGACGTACTGAATCGGAAGCGTGGGATTAACGCTGCACATAAGATGGTGGACGGGAAGACAGTCCTTGAGCGTCTTGGTGGAGAAATGAATATGGAATCGCTCATTGAGACGATGTGAGACCATCTGATCCATCTGTCTTGAAAGAGTGCATTGGAGTTCGGTGGTATTCAGGTATTCGGGATGCCTAGTGGACCCTAGGGTGAAATATTACTTCGCGTTAGAGCCGGCTAAAATGACTAATCTCAAGGCTAAGATGGTATGGCTGCTCCTGGTACGTCAGCCTTTAGAAAGTTCTTTGTAAAAGGCACAAGTTATAATCGGGTTGAGCGGTGGGCCGTCGGTCTATGATCTAAAGCGTCTGCGACCGATACATTATAACATGAACATCACCGACTATCATTTCGATACGTTGCTGGAGAATTTACGAGTGAGTCATGCCGTAGTAACACGTCTAACGCTTTCCTAGGTGGCATGTGAAATGATGGAGCTCACCCCGGAGCTCACGAGGGACATTGCGGAAGTAGCAGCATCTGTGCGGCCTGACATCACGGCTGGGTGCACGGTACGCCTTGAAATTGCTCGGAAGAAGACGGAGAGCGCTGGTAGTGGCTAGTTTGAGGCAGAGTAGCATTTCTCTTGCCGTGGTCCTCCATCAACGAGTTATTCTTGGAGTACTGTGCGATCGACTCGCGCCTCAGGTACGGATGGTCTGTTCTGTGTCCTCGGCGAGGATGAAGGAATTATGAAGTTCATGGACAAACTGTACGAGTCGGTTCTTCAAGACGATCGAATTCAGCATTTTTTCTCGGGCGCCAAGTTGGACTCAGTAAAGCAAAGCCAAGGTAAAGGAGGCGATCGTCTACTTGCTATTAATCGATAGTGGCACTGTTTCCGATGAACAGTGTGAGAGATGCACTTATAGAATCACTTGTTTTGGTGAACCATGCGCGACGTTTTGCTGGTCCTTTCAGCGGAGTATGTGGCGCAGCTCTTTGGCTCTTCACGCGAGTACATGGGAAGGGAGCTTCCCCGAATCCATGCGATGATAAGGATTGCGGATTTCCACTTCGACTGCTTTATCGAGCAGTGCAGGAAGAACCTAGCAGCATGTGGATTGGACTCAGATGCTGTTGACGAATGTAACGAGGGTAGTCGTTATTGTAAATGCGACTCGCATTATGCGAGTAATGACGGTTGAACAGTTCCTTCACGGTCACACTTAAATCTAAGTCCTACCGCTCAGCAGGGCGTCGGGCGTTTGAAGATTCAGCTCTGAGGAATACCATCATGGCGAAAACTATTACCATCTATGGCGGTCGACAGTCTGTGGTTGTTTGAGGTTCTTTAAATTGGTTTAGCTCAATGGTAGGACGTCAGTCGTGGAATTCAGATGTCGGCGATTCAATCAAGCTATCTGGTTCCTATGATAGTATAGAGCAGCTAAGTGAAATTTGCTCCATATCATAGATAATCGTTGATGATGTCATGGTCGTTGACTATTTTTAAGCCGGTTTAGCTTAGTGGTAGAGCGCCAGTCTTGTAAACTGGAGGTCGGCGGTTCAATCCCGCCATCCGGCTTATTTGTCAATGTCATATGGACTGAATGTGTTGACGCTTTCATGGCCAACTCTTGTGAGAAAGAAGTCTTGTGAGCT